CCCCCCCCCCCCCCCCCCCCCCCCCCCCCCCCCCCGCGCAGCCCACTGTGCGATCGCAGTTCGGTGCTTATCCTCTCGGACGAACGGCAGTCGACGATCGTGAAGAAAGGGATTCTGTAACCCTGTAGGGGGACGGAGGAGGAGGAGGAAGTGAGCGACTAAGAGGAATGAACTTTCTCCGAAAGGCTCTCTTCGCCTAACACTTCTCCGCCTTCATATGCCCCGGATATCGTTTCCGCTTTGACACGATCATGCTAAGTTGGCAGTGGCACTCCCATCTCTGATCTCTTTTTTTTTTTTGCTTCAGTCCTGGGGATCCAGGAAACAGGACGTCGAGTCGAACCTTCGTTCTCCAACGTCAACGAGAAAGAATTGAAGTCGCTGGCGTATGATTAGCGGAATGCGAGTAGCAGTAAATGTATATTACAATTGAAAAGGCATGAATTTATAACGAGGCGCATGATTCGGAAGTCTTACATGAAGTATATATTCGATCTAATGAAAGTTTGGTCCCATGATTTTCGTTCCCTTGAAACTGAGTCATCTATGGGATTCCCTCCGAGTGTAAACCATCTGTTTGAAACACAAAACGTGGTCGAGATGCATACGTACATATGAGAATTCGCAGTTGCATCATTGCTGAATGGTTGCATCAGATGAGATAGGAATCGACTTCGGGGGAAAGGAGAGCAGGGAAGCAAACAATGGGCGCCCTCGAAGGGCGCCAATTGAAAGTGAAGACTAGAAAATGATCTAGAATCTTATATAACTTCCTAGTCCTCACTTAAATCCTTTCATGACGAGCCAATAGTGGCTAGGATGTAATCCAGGCCCCCCTCTTTACCTTTACTCTTTACCTAGCCATGCCCGGTCCGGTTTAGTGAAGGTTCCATTTAGATAACTTGAGCGAGGATTAAGGGAGGGGGGGGGTCATAGGGTAGTAGAGGAAAAGATCTTCAATCTAGACGTCTTCACACAGCGTCTTTCAGGAAAATATATTATGTTTCACTGATTTGAACCCAAAATCTTTGCTAGATCAATCTCGTAATTCCACATATTCACTCTATCCTGCCCCAAGTAGATCTCATGCGCAGTTTTGTTCGTAATGTTAGAGGTAGCCATTTCTGAAACACATGAGAAAATATTTTGTCAGTCATATTGCTACAACTTGCTGAAAATAAACTCCCCACGGTTTTATTCCTACTACAAGTACCAACTCCCAGGAAGAAGCAGAATAGTGCCGTCTTACGCCAAAAGAAAAAGCCCTGTAAAGTCAGAAGAGTGCGAATTTTTCGGTCAACCCTGGAATTACCTCTCTGTGACTTACAAGGGATGAGAGCTCTAGTTGCAAATGATGCATCATTTTTGCTGGGACATGGTCTCACTCGGGAGCATAACCCAAATTGAGATCAACGCAATCTTTCTTGGTCCGCCATTTTTTTTAATCGGTCAAATTGTTCACAATATTTATGAAAATTTCAACATTGCCACTTTGTATCAGAATGGTATTTTTTCGCCCCATATACTAATTACAACTAAATTTCCATGAGACTGGGCTTTTAGATTTATGGGAATATGTTTGGGACCAATCAGAGAAACTGGATTTTTTTGCCTGTTATTGCACCGTGGATCATTTTTTTAATTATTATGTTAGATTAGCCTTTCTGCTTCAAAGCTACGGCTCCTTCCACCCGATGACATAAATATTTGAATACTTATCTGCCATTTCCATAGGTATTATGGGGAAATGGCAAATATTGCGGTTAGTTTGTCACTTTCTTTTTATTCCGTCTGTCCGCAGTAACCACAGCGACCGGACATGACCCAATGCACACGCGCAGCTTTCCACATGGGTGTTTTTGCCAGTCTTTCACTAAAGCATTCCAAGGGGGGTCGGACTGGGGGGGGGGGGGTAAAATCGTGCACATGGGATGACGTCAGCGAAACGTTCCACTATAAAAGCGGGCGCTTTGCCCTTGACGATCTTACTACCTCGCTGCTTAAGGCCAAGACAGGTCGCACACACTTTCTCATGTCTCTTACAGCCGTAATACATCTACGCTCGTTTTTCAGAGCCACCTAGGCAACATCGTACATACAGGGTGTTTCAAAGTCCGTACTCATGGGTATTTTGAATTAAATAAATTTCTCAATGAATGAGTGCACCAAAATTAGTACAGAAGAACTAATAAATATTCAGAAGGGGTTATGTGGCAGGAATGATATGTGTATGCAAGTTCATGGCATGCAATTTGAACATTTAATGAAATAAAGGTAAATTAGGAAATCTGCCTATGAGTCCGGACTTTTGAAACACCCTGTACACTGCCGACCTGTTCGTTGATTTCGATGATATTCTTAGGTTCCTTTATTTCATTCACTCTCTTAGCAGCAGTTGATATAAAGGACAGTGGCAAGGATTGCATTGTCGCATCCTCCAATAATATTTATAGGACTCTGCAGGCATGAAATATTTCCTTCCATGAATTTCCAAAATGTCTAGACAAAGAAAATGATCAATCAATCAATCGCTTTGAAGAAAATCTATCCCCAGATATGCTTTAGTGCGTTCGCATCCCTTCTCCTTAGATTCCTATCATGATCGGAACGCTATAAGGCGCTTGAAAAAAGATGCCGTTCCAACAGAGAATCTGGTCTTAGATCCAACGCAACCTCCCACGTTCACGTTTGGCGTCTAGGGTAAATTTGTGACCATTTGACGGTCTGACGATTCATTTAACCAACGGAGGACCAGCAGGTCTTCTCATCTCTTGAGAATGGAAACAATGACAAAATAATCGTACCGGATGACCATGAAAAATGATGACCAGAATTTTGGCCCACCCTGTATATATACTGGTCGCGCCTTCGGCGCTCTATTACCTTGGATAGTGATTAATTCATTTATTCTTTGCGAAATGGCAAGCACATATGTAAAGTACGTCCCCATTGAAATACGTGACAGATGGGGACGAAAGTCTTGATTTTTATCAAAACCATTACTTCTATGATTTCTAGAGTGCCTAACTTGAAATCTTTTCATGTGTCCCGTTTTGTAAGGGTGGACAATACATTTTGAAATACTCCTCTCTTATAATCTATGCTAATGGAACATATTATAAAAGTAGGATTTTTCCTATTCGCATCCATCAAATAGGTACTTTTGAGGGAAGTTTAAATTTTGTTTCTCTATTTCGTTTGATCAAAAAAAAATCAGGAAAATGGGACTGAAAAAAAGGGACTTGATGGGTTTTTAATGAAAATTGTATTTCTTCTGAAATGTAGACTCAAGGAACTTCATGCCATACGGTTTCAGCCTGATACGTTTCCTCTTTTTGCTTGCGGAAAAAAATTTATTTGGAAAAGCGACCAAACCAAAAGCTGTGTTCTGAGGAGACGTATCAAAATTTTTTCAATTTTTCCTTAAATCAACATCACGTCAGTGATGCGTGCGCCAGCTACTTTTCCATGTCTGCCCGGTGAACTACATGCCCATTAAGTTTCAATATTCTACGTTTGCCCATTTCGCTGGTGAAAAAACATGCTTGGAAAAGCAGACCAGCAGAAATGCCATGCCCGGAGAGGATGCCCCACGAAAGCTGAATACTCCCTCAGCTCAGTAATATCGTCACTAATACGGGTGCCAAGTTTCACCTTTCTATTTCTGTCCAATTCGCCGCAATGACTTTTCTTTTTCAAAACATCACACCTCGAAAAAATTCCCCATGGGAAGTATCCAGACTTAACATTTTTATATAACTCTTTGTCTCAGTTGTCACATTCATGGAAAGTTTCAGCTTTTTATGTTCATCAGTTTAACTGATGCAAAAAATTAGTGGAAAACATCTCCCTTTGAAATTTGTGGCCCCAAGGCATTTACTTCTAAAGTCTGAAGTTTTCTGTAGCATCCCAACAGGTAGTTATGTACCAAGTTTAATCTTTTCACACTATCTCAATACGCCGGGACAAAAAATACTTGAAAACGTCGCCTCACAAAAATATGCCCCGAGGGCATGAATCTAAAATGTTTCATTTTTCCTGAACTCATCGTCTCGGTAGGCACGTGCATGCCAAGTTTTAGCTTTCCATGTCTCTCCGTTTTACTCAAGCAAAAATAATGTTATGGTGGGGGAATGAGTAACGGGACATAGAATCCAAAAAAAGCCAAATGAAAGCCAAGGATTGACCGGGATTTGAAACCAACCTTCTGATTGCCTGTTAGAGATAATACTACTACACCACCGAACCCAGGACATCCAATTGGCTCTCTGAATGCCATCCTCATCTGTCACAAAATATATTTAAGAAAAACGTTTCCCCCCAAAATGTGTACCCCCAGGGCATGTACCTCCAAAGTGAGATTTTTTCTGAACTCTGCATCCCAAAAGGTATTGATACATGTGTACCAAGTTTCAGATTTCTAACACTTCTAGAACATAGTTAGAATTAGCGTCAGTCAGTCAGTCAGTCATGATCGTCTATATGTATTAGATTATGCTACAAAGGAATGTATGAAGACTGGCACTCGAACGCAATACTCGAATGGGCCCCTATGCCATTCGCTAGCTTTCTCATACCGTGAGGCGCTAAATTATTTCCATATTTCCCCTTTGTGAGTCACTCTGCATATTCCGGAGCGATATCGACAACATCACGGAAAAATGTCAGATTCGAATTGCGTCATTTGGATATGAATTCACCGATAAAAACGGGAAAGACACCCCCTTGGAACCTGAAACCTGCAAGAGACGGTTCAGAGCAGCGAAGAGAAAAGGAATCGGAAAGGAAACCTCAGGATGCAGCGATCCCTTGTGCTTTTGCTCCTGTTGAGCCTCGGAGAGAGTTGGGCTGTGAAACAGGTTGCTCACATCTTCGATCGGATGAACCAGGACCCCAATGGAGACATGAGTGTAAGGACTGAGTATTGCCCCGACTTCAAGAATTGCGACCCCGATATCAATGACAACGCGATCTCCAGCACTCTCGCCACCGGCGTGTGAGTCATTCACTACTTTTCGTTTCCCCTTGCTCGCCGCGCCGTGATACCCCGTTAATAATAATCACGATGATATTAAATTTCGATGTTAGACTTCAGTCTCAAGCATCGGCCTGGCGCATGCTAATGAACCGAATTAACTGACATCGACAAATCGCTCTGGCTAATTCTCGAAAATACCTTCGGAAACATCGACTCGACAAGGCTTGGCAATGAAGAGATCGACAGCCGCAAAATGAGGAAGTGACGTGAATGGAAAATGCTCTGGCAACTGCCGTCATCAATCGGGTCCTCTTACCTCCCGAATCGTTCGGATATTCGGCTGGCATTCTCCACATCCATTCTAATCTCCATTCTAATCTCCTAATCCATTCTACTCCTGCTAGAAACTTTGCTCGATTACTTTTACTACTGGAAAAGCCTCTCATCTGTCTAGGGGGAACAATAGAGACCCTTCGTCCAAAAAGTAAACGCTTTTAGATTGCGAAGGACGACTTCAAATTGAAACATGTTCGATGATAAATAAAGCGTATTTACCGGTAATTTTCGAGAATCTTTATGAAAATAGCTACGATGGGCTTCGCATGTCAGAAATTATTATTGCATGAAATCCAAATTGAAACATTGATTAGTAGCTCCATTCCATACATAGACGGATTCATTGACTGGGGAAATGACAGATGCTATTTAACGGTGAAGGGCCTATCCACGTCAAGTGGTCTTAGAATTTTAGCCGGAAATTTTCCTAAATATGCAAATTTCACTTTCGCTACAGAAGTTCGTCATCTCTTTTCCAAGAAGACATACGTGAGAGAGAATATTACATTGAAAAATGAAAGAATTAGACATAATTATGATATATTATTCATACCACTCTCATGATACTCAAAAATGTGATGAAAATGCACGTATGGAGAGACTACTGGAAGAGATGCTAGCATTTGGCTTTCCATGCATACTGATGTTTTCAAATCAGTTCAGGTGTGAAGAGTAGATGTCAATTGTTCACATTTGAATGATATCTTTACGATAAAATAAATACATATGTACAGACTTCTCGTTTCAAAATACATTTTCAGAACATGTCACATCCGGCACCATCACAAATTAGGCTTATTTTCTGTTTCAATTATTCTCATCTTGGGGTGACTTACACTAATTCCAGGCGTTCATTCCATCTATAGAATGGACATGAAACTAAATTATTAGGTTCCGCTCGATGACAGACATGTGAACATTAGTGTAAATGATGTAAACTTGAGGCTCACGAAATGTCACGTCCGACACTTCTCTTTGCTTGAGGTACACCTCCAACATAAGAGGGAGTGCAAGACTTTGGATTATGGAATTTTCAGTCACCACCCAAAGCAAATTGTTACAGCCTTTATATGCTGATTTGTCAGCCATAATATAGTTAAATACATTTTTTATACCAAAAATATTACTCCGGATGTCACATCCGAAACCGTGGACAGACCCTGAACGCAAGAAAGATTTTAAATACGCCAGAGAAAATAATTTATCTTGAATTGCGTTATGTTATCTTGTTAAAAGCATTCGGTAATTATTCAGATGCGATCATCGTCAGTGTTTCTCGATGCTCCTTTCTTTCAGTTGGATATTCTACTCCGGTCATCATTACAACTACGATAACCTGGGAGACGTCGAATGGGTGTTCGGAGACGAAGCACGGCTGAACTTCGGGATCGTCGGCGACAAGGTCTCTTCCCTCAGGTGAGTCGGGATCATCCCGCGGATGGTCTGAACCCGTGAGATGATGACTCGTGGATGCTGGATTTTCTTCGAAGGTATGCTGGAGACTCGGACGACTGGAAAAGGAACACGATCACGCTTTACGAATTTGAACATTTCTCCGGGTTGGAATACTACGAGACGAAAGACGTGCCCGAAGTGTACGTCATGAAGACCGTGAAGTCCGTCATCATCACCGGTCGAGCGGAATGGACCGTCTACCCGTGAGTTTCTCCATCTCGCGGTGTTCCGATGATTCGAGAAGTGCTCCCGTTGCTGAAGATCTCGTTTTTCCCCGCTAGATCCGCGAACTTCCGTGGGAATGGAGTTTGCTTCGGAGCCCAGACTGGAAAGTACGCCGCCTTCGCTCCGGACCTCGATACCTATCCAATCAATACGATTAAGTCCTTCCGAATGGGGTGTTACGCCAAAAACAAGATTCAGCTCGACTCTAGTGAACACGGCGTCTTCGTCAAGACCAAGGGATGAACTGGCTATTCGCTCGTCTTCCTCAGAAATAAAATGATTGAGCCTCACTCGTTCGCCTCGATTTGTTAGAAACTCTGGGTGTGAATGCACTGCATTTTTTTCATGTCGGCTGTCGCTGAATGACCAGTTTGAATCGAAATACTGAGGTGTCATATATAACGTCGTTCACTGGAAATAATTTCTTTTGATTGATTCGCCTATAACATGTAATGTATGTCCTCTATGGGAAATTGGGAAAAAGTTTGAGGAAAAGGAAAAAAAAATAGAAACGAAATGGAAGATTGGTAAGAGTGCCATATAAAAAAAGAGAAAATAAAGTGAGAAAATCAATTGTCTATTTACCCATCGACATAAAAATAAATAACTTAAGGCTTGAGTCATTCTCTAAGGTCATGCTATTTATAGATTGTTTGCTTCCCCTTTCATCTTCATCGTGTCGGCTTCTAATACTAATTTAAGTTCACGGAAGGGGTATGAGTCAGCTTGGTTTTCACCCTTCTCTTAAAGCGATACGTAATTCCATGTTCCCCTTTTGGCTTCGCCTGCTACGAATCTGTAGAAACAGGCTGGCGAAGGCGACCGCGTCACCGTGGCTCAGTGGATAAGGCCCGGGGCGAACGCGGCCAGGTTGGAATCCGACCGGCGGCAGGCGGTATTCTCCTGGGTCGACAGCAGTTCACCCGGCTGCTTTCGGGTACGACCTGCTTTCCCTTGGGCTGAAGCATAGGCCACTCTGTGCTCCGTGGTGCGAGAGGTGGCATCGAAGTTGCCACCACCTTCTTCGGGCCAGTGAAAACGGGATGCATCATGACAGGAAGCGTGGGAAGGTGGGGCAATGCCGTCAGTGATGTCCGATATACAATTCCCTTTCCTCTACTCAGTGTTGCCGCTTGTGGCATTTGTCCTTGTCTGTGTATGTCCGTCCCATTCCACGTTCTTTAAATAATTTTTAAAAAAGGCTGGTAAGGGCGCTGGTTGAGACGATCGTTACGAATGCCGGATGGGAGTGTAACGAGCGGCAGAGCATTCTTTTCGTCAAAGCCATTCAGTTAAGTTAAATTTAAGAGTTAAGTTAAAAAGGTCATTACGACTTAGAGTTACGGAATGAACTATCCCCGTGCATCGTGAGACAGAAGTCAAATGCAAGAGTAAATGTGATGTCTCTTCAAGAGATACGACAAATGTTGGTTGCCTACATGGGGAACCCACTGCGATGTGGGCCCACGCCCCCCCACTCGCAGCCAACGTGGGCCCAACGTTGTGGACTGCCTGAGCGCACAAAGGCTCCCAACACCTAATATTAATAATGGCCATTGCCGATTATCATGTTTCAAAATTCGCAGGAAATTCGATGATCGCTGAGAGCTTCACTTAAAAAAGGTTCGAGGTGATCACGTGATCGTGAGGCGGTCGCGTGACTTGCGGCAAGAAATGTTAACATACATTTTGGGAAAGCCCTTTCGTGATCAGATGCAGATGATGAGTGAGTCCACGCTGGGAAACGAGACTAACTAGAGGAGAAGTTATTGCAGAAACAGTTTCACGATTCCGGTCCGTATGGCGCCAGGAGCCAAAAGTAGGTCACATTCAATTGCCTATATCTAGACATCTGTGCGAGATAAAAAAAAGGCTTGGTTGAAATAAGTCTCTTTAAATCGATTTCTGCCGATTTCTGTCAATGTATGCCGATTTTCGTTAAAATCAGAGATGGTCGAGCTCACGCTTTGGTCGATTTGGCGTGGAATGACCCAGAGACATATTTTACAGTTATGTGCCAAGGTAATAGTCAGAAATCGGGTAAAATAAAATAATTCAATAGGCAATAAACAATATAACAGCGCAAAATATGATCACTATCAGCGATGACTTGGAAAATTATATTCCTGTTCGGAAATGCTTGAAAACATGTGCAGTCGACGCTCTCAGGCAGGAATGACGCCTTCGAACGAGATCCAGGTGAACGAGAGCCGGCCTATTTCTATAAGTACTCTGATGAGTAGTACTTCTTTCACTTCCTGAAAGAAATTGGAGCCACATCGTGATTTCACTCATCGGGCTCTTCACTCGTTATGCAAATACATGTCAGGCAAGACTCGGATCGTATCTTTCACCAATCCAGAACCTCGAAGGGGTGCCAGACAATTAAAAAAAGGTATTTCTTGATCCTCACCGTTGTGGGAATTCGACATTTGCCATGTGGGCCCGACGTTGGGTCCCGACGTTTTTCCCTCGTTGGCTTGTCCCGCGGCCCCACGTTGAGCCAACATCGAATACCGACGTGCGCCGTGACACTCAGACGATTACAGGAGGTTTCCATTCAGATTCTATATTCGTACGCAACAGGTCATTTCTCCTACCGGGGAACTGGCCAGGGAGTGTCCCGTTCTGGCAGGAAGTACTTCAGGGAGTAGTACTTCCCTCACTTTCCGTAACGGATTAGAGGCCATTGTGATTTTACTCATCACTCATCACGCTCCTTACCAGCTGTGAGATTACTTGTGCGGCAAGACACCCGAGACTACCAAGTTTAAAATCCTGGCTGGAAACAGCTACATTTTCCAACTGGGCTCCAGCTGGAAATGAGATTGAATTTACCAGCTGGAAATTAGTCTGGAAACATCAGAAAAAGTGATCCGATCCAGCTGGTAACTAGCTGTATAGTAGATGGGTTTTGACCAGCTGGAACTCAGCTTGGAAGCAGACATCATTTCCAGTTGGTAACCAGCTGGAAGGCAAATGAGTTTGGTCGACTGAAATTCAGCAAGGAACCAAATTTCTTGTCCAGCTGATAACCAGTTGGCGAATAGAAGTGCTTGACAATCTGGAATGCGGCATGATCATTCATGTTCTTCCATTTCTCTGTCTTAACATATTTGCTGCTGACCTCGACAGAAGTTAATTAAGAAAAAAAGAAGCCAAATCCATCATAATTGATTTAAGTCAATCTAGTTCCCAATACTGTTTTTTTTGGTCTTTCAATAAACAGACATGTCTCAGTTGCCTTATGGTGGTTTAAAGAAAGAACGCTAAACATTTTCTTAATTCGTAAAAAAAAAAGCCAAACTAATGTTGGACTGAGAGCTTTAGAGACGGACATTGATGTGTTCATTAAGTACAAACGTCAAATCTGTTTCGGATTTCTTTGAATTTCACCACCACACAACGATTTATCATCCTCACAGCCCATTCGCCAAGCTCTAGGGAACTGATTTCGATAGTTGAGGTGCCGATAGACTTCTCTCGTCCTGCCGATGCATTTGCTTGCGGTTCGCAAATACTCATTCAGGTCTCGTAATAGTTAAGAGTTCCGAGAAATTAATGAGCCCCAGCATGCGAGTACGTGTATTCCGATTATTATATCTAGGATTTAACGAAAGTAGAAAATACTAGGAAGTTCTTTGCAAAAAATTGTAACAAATATTAGGGGCTACCCCAATTATTGGGTTGGAAAGAAAGTCTTGCAACACTTTGCGCAAATTTTTCAAAATTTTATAACTTTATTGAAATGCAATTTCAGTCAACAATGTAATGACCATTGTTGTCTATGACATGTTCCCAACACACGGGTAACAGCTCGATGCCCTTTGCCAAGAACTCTGGCGATTGCGAAGCGAAGAAACGGCAGACATCATTTTCGAGCCGTGCTCGATCGTGGAAGGCCTTGTCCCGCAAGTGATTCCTGAGGGCCCGGAACAAATGATAGTCGTTTGGGGCCAAGTCCGGAGAATACGCTCGATGGGGTAAAACTTCCCAGCTCAGTTCCGAAATTGTCTGGCGAGTCATCATCGCAACACGTGGACGAGCGTTATCATGCAGAAGGAGAACTCCGTCGCGTTTGGGACGCTCTTTTTGAATGACGCTAGCCAACTTCTGAAGTCGAGCAGCGTAGACGACGGCAGTCACGGTGGTACCGGTTGGCAGGAGCTCATAGTTCGACATTCCTTCTGAATCCCACCGATAGCAGAGAAGAACCTTCTTCTCGTGGAATCCTGGTTTCGGTTCGTGTGGCGGCAATTCTCCTCGTGGAAGCCACTGACTCTTGCGAGTATGGTTGACTTAGAGGACCCAGCTCTCATCTCCAGTAATGATTTCCTTCAGAAGGTCCTTTCTGTGCAGACGAAGGAGCAGTGATTCGCAGACACTGACACGGCTTCCTTTGTCAGAGTCACTGAGCTGATGAGGGACCCATGTCGAGTAAACCTTCCGATAGCCGAGGTCGTTCAGATGGTTGCTGATGGCCATATGGGTGACTCCAAGTGTAGTCGCCAATTCACAAGTGGTGGCGTTCGGCTTTGCGTTGAGGGCGTTCCACAGGGCTTCGTCATCAACTGTAGATGGACGTCCTGAGTGTGGTCGATCTCCGAAGGTCGTGTCACCAGATTCGAAGCATTTGAACCATCGAGACACCATGGAATAGTGGACGATGTTGCCCTTGAATGCAGCGCAGATGTTGTCTGCGGCAGCTCTCACAGAGTGTCATTGGAGGAACTTGTAGTAGATGATGGGGCAAAGAGTTGCTTGTTCGATCGGAGCCATGGCTGCCAACTAATGGCAGAAGCCGCCTTATATACCCCGAGGGCAGAAGCTTCAAGAACATTCCAGCATATACAAATGCAAAGCCCATCCCATCATTCCTTTGAAAATTTTTATAAATAGTTTTATTGTTGCAAGACTTTCTTTCCAACCCAATATGAAAACCAGGCGTTGGTTCCAGTGCCTGGGTTTAAGTTGAGTACTTGAGCCCCCAGCTCCATCTATAACTTCTATTCATTCTACAGGAGGAGTAGCATGTTGCCAGCTGCCAAGAAAGATCCTGAGGTGAATCTTGAAATATCCCCTGTTGTTCGAGATGTTATGGATTCTTCAACCTGTCAGTCTGACATTGTGGCTCTTCAGCAAGCAGCTCACGATTTTGTGATCTTGGTGAATCTCAACTCCTTTCTATTAGTTTACCAAATTTTTTTTTAATATTGAAAATAAAAATGCACTTTTTTGTTGTTGTCACATTCCTACTTTTTAAAATAAGATTCTCATTTTCATATTTAATGTTAATTTTTTTCATATTTTCAATTCAATTGCTGTTTTATTGTTTAGGCTCAACCACAGAACTAGAGCAGAACTATCCCTTTAGCATATTAAAGGATTTTTAAAGGTCAGGAATATTCAACCTTATGTTGATCAGGAAATTGAATGTGATAAGATCATACCCTAACTTTGGAATCAGTCCCTAATTGCTGTCCTCATCAGTTGCTAAATTGAAAAGGAATTCTTGTCACCCCATTATAAGGAAAACTTTCCAAGTAGTTTCAGAAGCACTTAACTCCATCTGAGTCTTTTAAGTTGTGATGTGATGGCTAAACATAATGAGTTCCATGTTTTTTGTCAATTTCAAGAACACATGTCCTATTTCATGGTATGGCAATAACTACAGAATGAATCCTACCTCATACTTGAGTGACTTGGAGTTAGAGAACCAATCCAAGTTCTTGGAAGATTGGAGAGGTCATCACAATGATTGAATTGATTCTGTTGATGGTCAAATTCATTTGAGTGTCAGATAATTAAGAGGCCATCTATAGGAAAGTGCATCACATTTGCAAAGTGGCAGCAAGCAGAGACTTCCCTAGAATTTCCTGGAAAAAAATTTTTTGAAGGCATCATAACAGCAGCATGAAGGCACCTTTTCTTTTTCATCTGCAGCTCATTGACCCTGCCCAATAAATTAAAATTTTACTCAGACATAGCCTAAATTTAAATTTGTTGAAAAAATCCAATTACCTATCGTTAATCCTTACCCTAAGGGAATGTCTGTTGATATTTTAATTTTTCATATGATGATTTATGTGTCATCTGGAAATGCAAAATATCTCCATAATTCAATAGTTTTGAACCTTCAATTCAGAAAAACATTTATAAAATAGAAATAGCAACATTACAGACCCTATGCTTATAAGGACAAAGTAACTGGCAAAAGCCCAGTCCAGTAGCAATTACTAAAGCTCATTCAGCATAAGGTTATAGTTGAAGGAAGTTGCTGAGCAGTATCACTGCATAGGCCTAAAAACTTTCTTCAAGCATAGAATATTAACATTTGCAGTTTTCAAACTGCCAAGTTTAACAATTGATCTGTTGCTGAGACTTTGACTCTGCTATGCTTCTTGGGTCAAATGCCAAAACCTATAGGCCTGTGGCTGCTTACCTTGCTGTCAAGTTACTAGGTAATTAGCCAGAACAGCCTCCAGAAAATTGTTGTCTCTATCACAGTACTCATCTATTTATTTTAACATGCTCATTTAAAAAATACACAAAATTGCATTTTTACCACATCCCCAATGGCATTGTTTAGAAAGGATGTGCTCGTGTAATTATAAAATTGAAAAATAATGCAAGAAACAGAAACATTTGTTTAAGAGCTATGGATTGAGGTATAAGCCATTTGTCTGGCTCGGATACATTTACATGGAAACCCTTGAAGTGTCTGCCACAGGCTATAGGACATTTGTGGTGGAAATAGCCCAATTTTTTTTTGTTTCCCCAATTTTGATGAATTTTCTCTTGATCACAGGAGTGTGACGATGGTTCCTTATTCCGCATGAATGTGCCCCCAGTTACACATTCTCCACAAGGTGAGCCTTACCTATCTTCATGATACTCCATTATTTATGTGACAGAAGGCATGGCAAAGGCTGGTGAATTAGTTTATTATCCCACAACAATATTCTATTAGAGCTTGAGAAGAACGTTTCAATTCTATCATCAGTTCTATTTGTTTTTAAATAAAATTACTACAATAGCACTGAGTACCTGCAAAATGTAATATATGTGAAGTTAAACTTTAGCTAGAAATCTGAATCAAATGGAACTGTATGGAATGAACATGGCTGGTACAATTAATGGGTCAGGAGCTTCAAGTGAAATGAATGTGGTTGAAAAATGGGATTTTCAGTGAAACGCTGCTTGGAGGGCCTGCAGGCATGCTTACCAAAGGATCTGAGCATGCATGTGGTATGCAAGTGGTATGTGTGCCGCAATGCTCCAGGGCAAATGAATTCTCAATGCAAAGAATGGGAAGCATTTGCTCTATTCCTTGAGGGTCTCTTAGGCATACCAATTGCAAAATGCTTGGATGCCTCTGGAGGATCTGCACCTCCAAAGAAGCCCCGTGGTTTGGATCATGGCTCACCAGAAGTGAGCATTGTTCTTGCAGTGCTTTTTTAGTTTTCAATTTCCTGATTTTGATAGTGCTGATGGGAATATTTTTACTATGCCATAGGACTGGGAATACCTTATGGGTTCAACATTTCACCAGTGTATGTCCCAGGATGCAGGTTTCCTGGAGTTTCTTGGCCTTCCCTGTACCTCTAGCCTGTCATCTATGACTTCCTTGGAAACAAGAGAGATCTCAGGAAGTCTAGAGATGCCTGGCTCACCCCTGGCCTCTCACCTTCCTGCTGTGTTCTTCGCCCTTCATCTTGTTTATGAAGTAAGCTCTCTTTCTAGTCTTGCTTTACTTTATTTTGGTGATAGGTGCTCATTGAATGCAGTTCATGTATTCTTGGTATTCTTGTTGCAGGATATGAAGCTGGATACAGGCTACAGTGTGCAACTTCTCTCCATGGGACGTTTACTTTCAGAGTTGGCATCAGTTCTCACTCTACCTGTCTATGTAGACCACTATTGGCGAGACTTCCCCAGTGAACTTCCAATGTCAATGTCTGCCACTCCTTCCAAAACTTTTCAGTTTCCCCCTTACTTTACCCAAAAACCTCCATCTGTCTTTCATCATCTACAGTCCATCCTTCAAGAGAGCATACATGACTCATATCCCTACATGACTGGTGTCAATGTTCGCTCCAAGCAAATATTACAAGTATGTCTGAAATTTGTATTCCTTATGCATAAACATGTTAATGCTGGAGGCAGTGAAAATATTTATGCTGTTGCTTCATGTGCATCTCTGTAAAATCTGAAAGGGTTATTAGTGAGCAGGAAGATCTATTGCAAGAAGGTTATTCAGTGACTTTCATCCTCTAATTGCTGGGTCATTTATGCTGTGTCCTCAGGATAATGTCAGTAGCATCACTGCCAGCACCAATTAACTTGCATGACATGGATAAATGGATTAGAATTGAAGGAAAACTTGAGCAGATATAAATTAGAATATCTGAGAACGTATTGATCTGTCAAGAAGAACATATATATATTCCTGATCGTTTGCAATTTTGCCTATTTGATATTTTCAGCTGTATCAGAGCCTTGCAAATGCTGATGAAAAGATTCCTCTTCTGAAGGAGATCTCTACTCAACCAGCATTTACATCATCCACTTATTCCATGGATATGGATACTGGTGTAGTTAATGAAAGAGTCACAGATCCTGAGGTCAGGACTATCGAGTTTATGATATCTTTTGGTGAGTTGAATATCATGAGAGTTCTTTTCAGGTATGCTTTCAAAGGACTTCTTAGAAGAAGGAATCTCCTTCCACAGGTATAACAAGACCATTCCTGGCAAGCCTGCCCCCAGCTATTTCTATTCCCCTGCTCAACCTGCTGAATGGTGTCCGGGCAAAACCCCCAGCAGATTGGTCATATGAAGCATATGACTTGATTGGTCGACCAGACCTGGCTTCCCTCAAGAGATTCCAGGTCAAGATCAAGTTCCAGGAAAGTGACAGGACCCGAATCCTGGAGAGAGCAGGAGAACTGAAAGATCTCAAGTCTGTGGACAAGGAAAGAGACCAAAAGGATGGCATGGAAGGCATCAACTGGACAGTGAGGGCATTTTTATTATTACTAGGGCTGTCAATTTGATTAGATTAATCGATTAAAGTATTAATCACTATTAAAAAATTAGTCGAAATTAATCACATTTTCATCAACCTCCTAATATCCCCCTAAATGCCCATTTTTTCTCATAATTTTACTGTGTAATTCATTTTACAAAGCAGCTGAAAACGAAGGCTTTATCAAGGGAATGAAATGCAATGATGGCTCATAGAGGGTAGTCATTTTTGCACTGCTCACTCTTCCTCAGAAACTACTAACTATTTTTGGAAAAAGGAAACATGCAAAAACAAAGCCATTGGTTTCAGACTATTCCAAAAAAAAAAAAGAAGCTTCCTGACTCATTCACATCCACATGCTTACTAGTATACATCCCATGTCCTTCTGTCTAGCCTAGGGCCTTTAAAGGCATAGCCTTGCATGCCTTGCACGTCAGGCTAAGGTAACAGCGGCTTATGGCACAGCAACTGAAAAGTCACTATGCGAATGGGGAAAAGAAAGTCGCAATGAAGAAGCTGCAAGGGAAAGCACTGAAGGAAGAGGGGAGTTGGACATGGCCATGGGACAGAAGAGGCAGGAAAGAGGATTATGTAAAGACTGGGGAGTGAGAAGCATACATGTAAGTGCACTGGGGAATGTCTGTGGGAGCCTCCCTCCCCCCAGAAAGTAACCGAGAGAGGGGGAAAGCTGGGGGCAGGCAAGAGAAGTGCAAAGTGTGAAACTCTTTCCTGTTCCTTGCTTGCTCCTACTTTTGCTCTTCCATTCTGTGCCTGTAAATCATTGATGAATCTATAAACCTCTGCGCAATGAAGTGTCGCTGTATATGTCCAATCATTTAGGTTACATTTTTGCATCCTCCCGTTATGGGCTGGCTAAATGGCGAAAGGCTTCAGTGTGCTTCTTTGATTATGTTTCATCATTTATCTGGCTAAGTTGTAACTATTTTTTTCTTGACTGGAATGTGTCACTTGTAGGAGGAACAGGTGTATGTATGGATAGTAACTGCTATGTTAGTGACTGCATTGCCTTGAGTCACTTCCTGAGGCTCACCTAGGTGTTGGGCATGACTTAAGCAGAATCATTCCCCATGCCAAAAACATGATTCAAGGAGGAACTAAGGAATCAATTAAAATTCAATTAATCAATTAAATGGCTTGCAATTAATATATTAAAATTTTTTTAGCGATTGACACCCATAATTATTACATGTAGGATTCAGATTCAAGAGCTCTGCCCTTGAACTTGCTTTTCCCTCTAGGTGGGACGTCTTCTGTGGAGCACAGATCAGCGTTTGCTGGAGGCACTAACTCTGCTGAAGTCTTCTCAACCAGTCCTGGTTTCTATTGAGAAGAAACAGGAGGAAAGTGACCATGATTTCTTGGAGGCCCAGGAACGTCATTTGTATGCCATCTCCATCCGCACAATGGCCTTACCTCTTGGCAGGTGAGTTATTGTTGCAGGTATAAGTGATTCTTTCTGATATGATTTGAGAAAGGATTTTTTTTAATTGCTACCATGGAACCTGCAGGTATGATGAATGTTTTATAGTAGCATGGTAGGTCCTTGCACAATGATGTCATTGATTCTCCTAAGTACCTGGGGAAAGTATGCCAGTAGCAGCATTGAGACTCTCCCCAGCAACTAAAGTTTTAAATTTTGCAGGAACCCTCTGATGAAGGCTTTAAAGACATGAGATATGCAAATGAAATGGTTTGCACTGTATGGATCACTTCCTCCCAGAAGATGCATCTTCATCATACATACACATTCACCCCTGGTGGAAACTGTTTTTGTTAAACAATCCAAAGATAATATTCCCTGCTAGCTTCCATTTGGAATTGTGCCACTGTCTACAACAGCATTTCTCTCCTTGAACCCCTAAGGTCTGCAGCAAGGCACCAAGGGGTCAGTGAAACTGTCACCAAAGAAAATAAATGGACAAAAAGGAAAATTATTATTAAAAAGAAATTACTTGTGCTGAGGGATTATTGAGGGCCTAGCAGGAAATGAAGCCAGCAATTATCCATCCTCACTAATGTTTGTCTTTTCTCCCAATATATTCATAGCTACCTGATAATTAAAGAGATGTCTCCTAAACCTGTAAAAGAAAGGTCCATGAAGTGAATTGTCATGCAGAGGAAATGTATCAGGCCTGAAACTGTTTTTTCTGAAGAACTCTGCTAAAACAATGAGAAGACAATCAAAGGCAAAGACCAAGAACTGTTCAATATCTTTGCTGTGTTGTCATGAAATTTGCTATATAAAAAAAACATAATTCTTTCTCTCATTTGGAGCAACAATTCAGAATCAAAATTGCTGGTTAGATTGGCTTGTCTCTGTCCAATAGTGATCATTGTGCCTGGGAAACCTTTTTTCCATAGCCAAAAGGCATCCATTGAACTGATCTGTGAAAGAGTGAAGAAAAGAAAGAAATAAAAACTCCTCTTACAGTATGATGATTTTGTAGGCCAGACAGTTTAAGCTTTGAATTCCATCATTGCAGCATTTTGTGAACAGTTAATGCCCCATATTTGATTATGGGATTGTTGGGAGAGTTAAAAGTTAAACAGAACATTTAGCCTCATAATGTTGCTCAGTGGTACAGTACCAGTTGGATTTTTGTGAGGAAGATGGTGAATTAGTAATGTGGGCTTGTTGGCAGCTAGACATTGCAATGCAAAACTTTCCTCTGTATTTGGTCTGCTTTAACTATGCTATGATATTGCCACCTTCCTTGTAATAAAATCAACAGTTATATTTGAGGAAGACTTGAGTGGCATATCTCACCAGGGTTTTTAAATGTTTAAATTTCATTTCATGCATGATCGTATGAAGTGAAAACTTAACTTTACCTGTTCAAACATTTTTAGGTCTTAATGGGTATGATTCAATGAATTTTTTTTTAATGCTGTCTTGTCATAATTTTTTTCACTTACTATAGTAGTTTACAAATTTATTTAATTGTGAGGGGGTTCCATGCAGTCCTCCTCTGTTCTGAAAGGGGTTGGTAAGTAAAGATTGCTGGCCTACATGATATGGAAGAGTTTCTTGTACCTCTTGTCCTAATAATGCAAATAGGATGGAAGGTTGAAGAGAAGGGTAATACAGGGTGTCCCAAAATGAATATACCAAAAATAAAGTTGAATAACTTTTTTATTATTTGAGATAGCAACAAAATATATCCTGAAGGCTTGTAAGTTTTATTTAATTCAATAGTTAAACTTCTACATGTCTCCTGTCATTAGCTATAATCAATCTTATTCTGTGTTCAAATTCTGAAAGCACATTTACCAACACAGCTGTAGGGATGGATAAGACAGCATCACAGATACAAAGTTTCAGCTCTAGATCCCTTGGTTTGTTTCGGTAGACTTTTATTTTCAAAAAGCCCCAAAGGTAGAAGTCCAAAGGGAGTAAATTGGGGGAATGAGCAGGCCATTTTGTAAGTCCTCCCCTACAAATCCAACGAAGATTTTTGGTTTTGAATTTGTTACTATCTTAAATAATGAAAAAGTTATTCAACTTTCTTTTTGCTATTTTAATTTCAGGACACCCTGTATTGTAATGTCTTAATGGAGCATGGATATTCTTTCTGATTATTTCAAATCTTCAAGCAATGCACTGAATTTTCCTTGATCTCATAATAAATATGTTTCCTTGGTGATGCTTTGTGGATGCACTTTCATTGTCAATTCTCAGAGGCTTATTCACTTTGCGGACTGTGAGACCAGTGACAACCCAACCATTACCCATTGCACAGCTGTGCTTGAAGGGAAAGATACCACCAGCAGGGAAAGTTATTGACATGAGCCACATTGAAGTGCCACCAAATCTTACTTTTTGGCCTCTATTCCATAATGGGGTTGCTACAGGCCTCCAAGTTTCAACTGATGCACCTGACATTGTCTCCACCTGGATTGTTTATAATAAACCCAAGGTTAGTCTGCTGATCCTTCTTTTCTTGTTTCCCTGTACCAGTGCATTTTCACTGAGTTGAGAATCTCTTCTGTGGTTGTAGCATGGCAGTGAAATAGCAGTGGAATATGCTGGCTTCCTCCTAGGTCTGGGTCTGAATGGTCACTTGGCCAAGCTAAGTGAACTGAGCACACATGACTACCTTGTCAAAGGGCATGAAATGACCACCATTGCAATTCTACTTGGCAAGGCTGCCTCTCATATTGGTGAGAAAGGCTGAAGTTTTTCATCATAATTCAGTGTGGGCCATGAAAAACCCAACTGCAAAAAAAGTCTAAGTGCCTACTGAACAAAAAAGTGCTGAATATTTGCATCAAAAGTAAGCCCATTTCAAGACATCTCTTGGGGATAAATGTGTTCCTTAGAAATCAGTACCATTCAGGAGTTTTGTTGACTGTTGCCTCTAATCAAACTTGAGATGACTGAAGTGATGTCACTTCTGCTCCTGTTCCACTTGACTATGCACTGAGTTCAATGAAAAAACATTGAATTCGAGTGCATAGTTAAGTGGAACAAGAGTAATTAATTCAAAATGATGCAAACCTGGGAACTTTGAAGAACTTGCACTTTCTAGTCCATTTACCACCTCATCCACTTTCCCACCTTCCCCTATAATCTCTTTAATGGAATCTACTTGAGACATTAATTCTGATGCAGCAGAACCAGTCTTTAACCCTTTCGTGAGCACTGGGAAGAATTCTTCCTGCCAAACTGTTCACCCTCCCGTTGCTCTGGGAAGGCTTCTTCCTACTATGTAACACCTGCACTATCTACCAGTGACCAAGACAACTCCACGCAAATTTTACCTGGCACCTGTGAGGCCTGTAGGGAAGCCATTTTGGAGCAGATATAAAAGCATGCAACCAGTTTGAGCAACACATTCATTTTGAGGCAGAGAATACATAAAACAGAAACTTGAAACACAAAAGAATACATAATAATACATATGTATTCCATTGTGTTTCAAGTAATTTCATTCCTCGAAGACACATGTAAGGGATCCCTGAGCCTCTGTATGTTTGACTGCTTTGTGGAAGATTGTATATGTTTAGAACCACAATGTCAGCAATGTTATGAATTTGTGGTGATGAAAAGGGCATTGGGAAGAATAATTCCTAACACAATATGATATTTTATTTCCAGTCTTTCTTCAAATATAAAATATTAAATTTTCAAAATAAAAGTCACTGTAAGTGAAAAAAAAAAATACTGAATTTTATCATTTGCACATTAGAAAAAATTTGCCCATGAAAGGATTAATTGAAATTCCATAACAATGCATTACTTCATTCAATTGATATCCATCCTTTCTTGTGATCAAATATCCAGTACATGGAAAAGTAAATCTATTAAATAAAGGGATTCTTCACCCAGCCTGGATGAGATCAAATAATAAGAGATATGTGAATCAAATGAAAAGTGAAAAAATAAGCATTGAAAGTTTTAAATTGACTTTGAAAAATAAATTTAAATCATTTGACCCTATTATGTCAATAGATTTATTCTAATTCTCTGCCCTGTTCCTTTAGGTTTTTATTTCCTTTGGTTTCTCCACCCAGTAACAAGTGTTCCATAGGTTGTTGAAGTGTTTTATGCTGGGTTGAGTAAATTAATAAACATTTCACTCATTACAGGCATGCAAGACATGTCAGTATGGAAGATCCTGAGCCTTCATCTTGATCCATTGATCCCTCCTACATCAAGTGACCTGGACATCCCACATAGTGTCCAAGTGGCAGCTCTCATTGGCTTGGGCTTGAATTATATGGAGAGTGCCAACCGATTCATGGCACACCTCCTCCTTAAAGAAATTGGTGAGTGCATTCTGATACTATAGCTGGTCTTCTCTCCATATGAACAAAAGTTTCAAGGGTATGCATGACTGAAGGGAAACCACCTGGCCCTGAGATGGAAAACTGTTGTGATCGGGAATCATATTCCCTTGCTGCTGGATTGGCTTTGGGGATGATTGGGCTGGGAAAAGGGGAGGAATTGGCTGGGATTATGGAGAAGGACTGGACTCATAGCACCACTGACATGCTCTACCATTACATGATCGGAGGCCATAAGAGGGAAGTTGGAGGAGGTAAGACTTCTGGTCACTCCTCGCTCCCTTTTTTCACTGGAATTCAGTGGGTGGGCAGTGTAGTGTCCATTTGTTTTCTATAGGTTTGGCATCAGAGAAGCTGAGAGGCAGTAGTTACCAGATCAAGGAGGGTGATTCAGTAAACATTGACGTCACTAGTCCTGGAGCAACCCTGGCCTTAGGGCTCATGTTCCTTAAGTCAGGCAACAAGTGAGCAAGTTTTGAGCATCATGTTTGATATGAGTAAATGCAAAATTGGAATTTGGAAGTTGAATACAATACCCCATAGGGCAGTGGCTGATTGGATGTCACCTCCAGGCACACAGTTCCTGCTTGGATTTGTCCGTCCAGATTTTCTCCTCCTCCGAACTTTAGCTCGTTCCCTTATCCTTTGGGATGAGATCCTTCCTGTATCTGAATGGATCTCAGACCAGGTTCCCAAGTTTATTCTTCCACATGTACTTGTTCGTCCAGTTGATCCTGCTTCTTCCAATGTTGACTATGAAGGCATGAAGTAAGTGTATTACTCCTTTTTTCTGGTATCATTCCTTGAGCAGACCCTTTCACTTGCTCTTCAACTCAAATAGCCAAGCATACTGCAACATTGTTGCTGGAGCATGCATGGCCTTGGGGATTCGATTTGCCGGGACAGGGAACAGTGATGCATTTGATGTCATCCATCATCATTGCCTCATGTTTGCTGAACTCCTTCAAAAATCTCTTTCTGAGTTGGCTGGGAAGTCCACCATAGAAAATTGCCTTGATGTTACCCTCATCTCTCTTGCCATGGTGAGATTTCTCAATTCCTTTAATTACATTTACCTGCTGCACAGGTAGCATTTGTCAGTTTGACAAAAATTGGATGAATGGTGAACCATGTGCCAATGTGCCCATGCAGCATGTCAATCATGTGACTACAATTGAAGTACCAAACTGGTAGATTATAAGTCAATTTATGGATTCCAACATTCTCCCCTCCAAGTATCACTGGACATTCAAAGTCTTGGTGCAGTCAGAAGATATTAAACTTGTGCTTTTTCCCAGCAGAGAGGCACTACATGTTTATGTTCATGTTTCTTTCCTCTCATTATCATGTGGCAGATGAATTCACCCAAGCAATCTTCTATTAGAGGAATTATTACCCAACTGGACTGTGTTATCCTGTTAAAGGGCAAACAATGATGACCTGTGAAGCCTACCGATTAATTGCAGAAAGTGGGGACCTAATATATAGCAAACTAGGTGTGAGGTGCAACAAAAATTTTATTTAGTAACAAAAATCCCTCTTCAACTTCGTACTTCAATGACCCCCCATAATTTTGACTCCTTTGGGGGGTCTGTAGTATAGTATCGGCCAAATATGTACTAAATAAGGTACACATTTCGACATTGTTCCACATTTTGAAACGCCACCTAGTGTATGACCATCCCTGGGACAAATGAGGAAGCCATGCAAAGTTTGGTCTGACTGGGATCAGAGGTGTGACCGTGCATAAAGGACAGGCATGCATACACTCTGAAATATAAGTAGTATAGATTGTGGCTGGCAGATTTGAACCCACTTCCTAAAATCAAATTTGAAATCTTTCTATTGGAAAATGCTGTGTAGCAAATTATGGCATTTTTACTGCCAACAATGAATGCAAGGGTCATTCAACTGCACAAATGCAATTGCAAATTTTTATGATGATTGAACTTGATTGATGATTGAATTGTTTGAAACAGAAGGATTGAGATCTTTTGGGTAAAAAAATATTAGGCCTATGTGCATAGGAGATTTATGATCTTGGATTCTGTTTATTTTGGCATCACAATTGAAGTCATTTCTGCTTCCCTTATAGATTCAACATAGGACTGTAAGATTGGAAGCCTGCCATATTCAGTAGCACATTCTTTGTGAAGAGTGAAGTCACACTATCTCATTTTCAGTCTTTGCTATAAACTTTTTTACCATTGAGCCATTCCCAATGGCTTGAGATGGAATTAATTAAGCCTATCATTGATTGCCCTTTTTGAGGTCTATTGCCAATAAATGACTCCTACATTATTCTCACTCAAAATTTTGAACTTGAAATTTGAGTATGGTATGGTAGTTCCACTTTTAAAGGAGGACTTTAAGGCATGCACCAAATACCATGGAATAACTCTTCTCAGCATACCTAGTAATGTCTATTCCAAAGTACAAGGAAGGAGAGCTTGAGCAAAAAGCCATCCCAGAGAAGCATAGAGAGAGGCATGGTTTTGGTCTGTGGTGCTGCCCCTTCATAAGATCAACACTGCTCCTCTTGCATGCCTTCTTGAACAACTACTCAAGCCCAACTGCTTCACTTTACACCAGATTTTCAAGGAGCATTGGAAGTATGTTAAAGAGGTTTGCATGTGCTTTGTGGATCTCAAAGAGCCATACGACTGTGCTTTGAGGGAAACAGTGGGAAGTGCTGCTGTAGTATGGGGTTAAAAGTAAGCTATTGAAAGCCATTTATTCCTTTTAAAATTATATCAGGAATTGTGTTCAAGTGAGCAAGATAAGTTTGGACTCTCATTGTGTGTTGGATTCCACCAGGGTTTGAATTCCCTCTCCTTTCCTATTCCTTGTGCACATGGGCAGGATTTGCAAGTGCAGCTTGGACCTCAAGGGGGTCATCATAAGTAGTAATGAGGTAAAGGTACTTCTCTTTGCCATTGATGCCATCCCTTTGGCCTTGTCTCAACAAGATCTCAGAGTGTGCTGGACTGATTCAACTCTGAATGCATTGCAGCCCAAATGAAACTCAACAACCCCAAAAATTCAGGTTATGGCCCTCTAGAGAATTCCTGTACAATGCACCCTACAAGTCAGGGGGCCCACACTGGAACTGGTGGAGAAGCCCAAGTACCTCAGGATCTGTTATTCAGGTGATATGTGATATGGAAATAAGATCAACAGCCACATCTCCAAGGCTTCTACAGTTTTCAGGGAATTCCAATGGACTTTGGTTGCCAAGTCTGACATTTCCTAGGTGAAACATTACTTTTTAAGAGCATTCACCTTCCCATCATCAACTATGGCAATGAACTGTGGGTAATGATCAAAAGTATCAGGTCACTGATACAAGCTGCCAAAATCATCTTTTTATGATGAATGGCTGTTGTTATATTTCATGAGAGGATGCATATTACTGTCATCCATGAAAATCTTCTGATTAAGCAGCTATTCCTTTGGATCAAGCAATCTCAAGATGGTTTGGACATGTCAGCTGCATGCCCCCAAAGAGACTCCTAGAAGAGTCTCCCAATTCAAAATAACCAGCAGAAGACCAGTTGTTAGGCCTCATCCAAGACTATATCATGAAGATATGTTGCAAGAGGCATTCCACCTACTCAGCTTGAATCCATTGTCTGGGAGTAGTAACACAGAAGGATGCTCCAGGGCCTGCTTGAGTCACAACCCCTGTTTGGATGGAAGACATTCAAAATGAATGAATGAAAAAATTGAGCATTAGTTTTATTTAAATAACAGATAGGTCATGAGATTAGTATCTTTATTAGAGGATAAGGTATGAAAGGAATACGTCAAAATCTCAACTTCTTTGCCAATAACAACTGACCCTGCAGTTCAAGCATGCATTCCAGATTTTTTCATGCATACATTGGACTTTCATTAATCTGAACTCAGCGTGGGTGCAGACAATTTGTCTAAATGAACAATTACAGGGTGACTCAAAAGTCCTTGGACACCTATTGAAGAAACCGTTGGACAAGTGATAGCCAGGTGATTTTTTGAGTGAAGCAACTTCTACAACAGATATATTTGCCTTCCAAGTGTCAGGTCGAAAGCTCTTGATATGGTTCCCAAACATCAAAGAGAAGCAGTGATTTTTCAAAACCAGAGTGGTCTTCCAGCAAGCAGGATCTCAAAGCTCACCAAAACCCCTCTATCTACTATCTACAGCATTATTCGGTGATACAATGAGCTTGGATCAGCAGCAGATTGCCAAAGAAGTGGACGTCCTTTTGTGTTTCAGGATAAGAAGCTCCAGAAACGAGTCAGGCAAATGCTATACTGAAATCCAGAGCATTCTGGAAGAAAGCTTGTGCAAACCTTGAGAGTGGACAAAGAGATCTTGCGAAGATACATCAGGGGAAAGCTCTGCATGAAGCCTTTTAAAAAACAAAAGGTGCAGCTGCTTACAGAGATCAACAAGAAGAAACAAGTTCAAAGGTCCCGCCTGTTGCTCAAACGGTTTAACCAGTCATCACTCCAAAGGATTGTTTTTTCTGACAAAAAATTTTCACTTTAGAGCAAGCTTACAACCCCCAAAACAATCACCTCTGGGGTAAAAAGCTTTCCTCTTTCAAGTCTCACCAGCGATATGTCCATCGAGTTCAAAAACCAGGTTGTGCGATGGTGTGGGGAGATGTTTGTGCTTCTGGCAAAACTCCCCTGCATTTTGTGCAGCCTCAGGCCAAGATCAATGCCAGCTACTATCAAGAGTGTGTTGAAGAAGGTGCTACTCCCCTGGACTCAGGAACATTTCGAATCCCAGCCTTGGACATTCCAGCAGGACTCGGCACCAGCTCACAAGGCAAAATCCACCATCGACTTCTGCAGAACTCACTTTCCACACTTGATTTCCCCAGAAGAATGGCCTGCTAGTAGTCCTGATTTGAATCCATTGGATTAGTGTGTGGTCCTACGTGCAGGCCAAAGTCTGCTGCAAGCCACACAAGAGTATCAATAGCTCGAAGCTTGATCTGCTGAAGGAATGGAATGAATTGTCGATTGATCAGTTGTGAAGAACCGTAAATGATTTTCCAAAACGTTTGAAGCAGGTTATTGCCTCAAATGGTGATATATTTTAAACATAAAATCATCGTTGGTTTAGTTTTTTTTGTGATCTTTGCACTGGTCAAATCAGAAATTGAATTGGTCTTCATCGGAGAATGCTACACTTGATTAAAGGTGTCCAAGGACTTTTGAGTCACCCTGTAGTGCTCCTTCACATCGTGCCAAACGTGTGCATGAGTATTCGAAGAATGACATTCCTGATCTTGATCCGAGGAACTCGATGGTCTCCAAATTCTTCAGACTTAAACCCTAAAGACTACAGAACATGGGACGAATCGAAGGAACCAGTTCATTCTGGCCGCCTTTTGCACGACTCGATGAGTCGAAGGCTCGAATCGAGGAAGCGTGGCCTCTTGTCTCCGACAAAACAAAAAAAGTGAATCGACCGACGGACACAGCGTCTGCGAGTGGTCGTGGACCAAGAATGGAGGACCCGATGAAACGTCTCTTCGATTGGGGCCAGTCTCTTTATGCACTCGTGGGAGATTAACTTTTACTCTGGTAGTTAGCAGCCAATTTCGTTGACATTTTTTGTGACGTTACCTGCAATTATTGGATGCGAAACTCTGTAAATTTCCTATCGATAACTCATATGGTATTCCGTCTGCGCGCGTGTAAAGTTCGGGACTTTTAGGGGACCATCCGGTATTATAGGCTTTATTAGAAGCAGAAAAGAAAGCTTAACAAGAGAATCGGTTAATGATGCTAAATCGAGCACGCGATCGCAGGTAATGCTCATGAAAATTGTTTCATCGACATAGGCCATTCTCATAGGAACGTCATTCATGCTTATCTCCCTTTAAGAAAAGAAGCAACCTTAAACTAATTACAGTCGGAGAAGTTTTGGAGAATTCGAATGCGTCTGGGTCTCGAGCAAAGTGCTTCCCTCGTTTCCGTTGACTGATTCGCATTTATTCGTCTTCGAGCGGACGCTTTCACCGAGAGTCCCAGCGCATTCGAATTCTCCAAAACTTCTCCGACTGTAATTAGTTTAAGGTTGCTTCTTTTCTTAAAGGGAGATAAGCAAGGCCTATGTCGATGAAACAATTTCCATGAGCATTACCTGCGATCGCGTGCTCGATTTAGCATCATTAACCGATTCTCTTGTTAAGCTTTCTTTTCTGCTTCTAATAAAGCCTATAATACCCGAAGGTGGAACTCGAGACGGTGTGGCAAAAGTTTCATTTCTCATTATCGAGGAGGGGAAAACTTTCGGAAAGCCAAATCCCTCACGTACAGAACAAGAATCGTGTGGGATCGTGCCTTTAAATGTGCTAAAGGAATGGGTCCTTTTACGTGAAGCTTGTAAATGCAGACTGTGAAGCAAAATATTTAAATTTTAATCAGATCTTCCATCATTCTCCTAGTATCTGCCGGAATTTATAAACTCTTGAGAGAGAGAAGTGAAAACGTGTCCACGCGATTTACGTTACGCCGAACGAGGGTGTCGTCTCTATGAAGGTGTCCGCAAGAAAAAGCGGTCCTTAACACACAGAAACGCTAACATCGCGGCTATGGAAAGATTCATCGCATCTAACGCGAAGACTTTCTCGAATGCCGACCCTAGTAAATTCGGAATATACGAGCCTCCCTCACGAGACGATGAAAGCTGTCACAGTTTACCCTTCGAGATACGTACTTTTCCCGGCGGTTATGAATTAACTAATGCTCCACCGTTCGGGAAGATGCTCACGGGCAAAGGCAACATAGGAGACCGCCTGGAGGGGAGCCGTGGGAGGACCGAAGGGAGGAGTGGGAGGACCGGAGGGAAGAGTAGGAGTAGGGGGCTTCGTGGGCTGGAGGGGATGAGTGGGAGGAGGGCTTCGTGGACTGGAGTAAGCACAGCTAGGACTTGGCAATTGGAGACCTCTTCATGGGAGAAGTGAGTCCAGAAGAACGACGGGTCTTCGGTCGTGGCTCAGGAGGCAACCTAAGCTTGCTCTCGATCAACTCCATGGCTCTTCTACGTCCAAGCCAATATCCACAGCAATCAGAACGCTCCCCTCCGCATGGAATCCCATGCTTAATGCTCTTTGGACCTCCATAACATCCCCATCCTTTTTTCATCCAACGATAATTGGCAATAATAGATGTAGGCGGATGTAACCCTATCGAGACTTGGTAATACTTTTGTCTGCTACTCTCATGCCGACTCCCATGAGAGGCAGATATTTCCTTGAATTTTGGAGAGCTGGTAGCCTTGTGGATGAATGTCTATGCGGATTTCTGCGTCGTGCCGATTCCCCGACAGGCAAAAGTCCACCCACGCGAAAGAAACGTACTTAGGTATACTTATCTATTACTTATCATGACTCAACGAGTCTAAAAGATGACTTCACCTCTTTTGGGAGTAGGCACAAGAGCAGGTTACCTCTTCTTTGGTATGGATCACGCAGATATTTACTTCCGCGAATCATTTTCCTGGAATAGTCGGGGTACCAAGGCAACCAGCGCATGCAACAGGAAACCTCTACAAGATCTTATCCTAATTTCGCCTCGTCGGGAGGAAGGAAAATCCGTTATGCAACGGACACTCTCCACTCCTCGGTCCCTTGACGATCTCGAACGACGTGCCATCCATTTCATAACTGCACATGGAAGCTTTCAGACTGTTTTTATGAAATTAGAGTATCGGACGACTAGCTGAAGGAGATATGATTTATTCTGCGCTTGGAGGAACCTCGAAGGCTTCCCGGTTCCCCCAAGCACAAAATGTTCCTCCACGTTTAAAAAGCCACTGCTTCGTGATGCCGTACTGTCAAGTGTCCCCATGCCTTCAGTTCCAATATCTTCACACCTACGCTGAATACAAGAAGGAAGAAGCCATAAACCGATGCAGGATGCCATGTCCTTGCGCCTATAGGGATGAGTTCGTCCCACGACACCTCCTGTGGATCACTCCACACTGGTTCCTATTGGGCACTTCCCTGCTCTAGATGCCCTTTTCTGCATATATTGTTCTCAAGTCTCGCTTGTAAACCGTCCCCTTATCAATGCTTCTGATAAGCGACCTAGTTACGGTACCCTTGAGGTTATCCACGAGAGATTTTGCAATCGGGATGCACGGCCTCGATCATCGGATTTATTTTGTCGCATTCGTGATAATGCCGAATGACTTGCAGGGGTAAGTCGGGCAGTAACATGAAAAAATTCTTGCTGTAAGATTTGCAGGACATAAGCATTTCTTTTCCAAGCTTGAAAAAATCCGACTCGGGAAATTCAGCTTAATCCGGTTGGCAAAATCCAAATGGAAAAAAAAAAAACAGTCTTCCATACTAGAGGGAAAAATGTAGCATGGAGTCTGGCTGGAAATGACAGCTTGACAGAATCTGGATCATTCTAGATCTAGTTGGTATTTCACTTATAATGGATTATGCCTTGTATGTTGGTATACAATATTGTCTGCCTCAGATGCTAAGAGATATAAAAGGCACTGATGGTATCTGGGGACAATTTCCATTCGCGACATTCCCGATGCATCGAACGATTCAAAGGAGAAACAATACTTGCGGCGCTTCCAGTAGTACCGTGATTTACAATTGAATTCGTACAACTTTTTCTTCTACGTTCTAAACTCTACAGTACGTCCAAGATGGTGTGAGAAATTCTCCCCTGAAGAAATACGGAGACCATGGCTAGGGTATGAATAAATTAATTTGCTAATTGCTGGACGCGTCATCAGTAATATTTCGACTTTATCCATTCATAGTCGTGATACGAATTGAAGAGGGTGAACGATATTGGTTAGGTGAGTGATCTCGCAAATTAATTAATTAATGTCCCTAAATGCGACTTCTACCTGAGCTTGTCGCAGACTCATAAAGGCCAGCAAAGGTTGGACGCAAAATCGCGAGTCTTCACTTCATGCTCCACGACTCGGTCGGCAACAATAAGTTTCTTAGACGTCGAACGCGCTCCAATCCACTCTTTCGTTCCAAGTTCTATTTCGCTCCGATGGCAAGGTCTTCTGGGACCTTGTGAGACTCAAATATTGAAACTCGTGACGGGAGCGGACAGCATATTGATTCCTATCCCGATTATGCGGTTCATGAATTCGCGAACTTGCGTCACTTGAAATCATCGACGTCATGCTAGAAAATGGTAAAAACTCAAGAAGTGCATGACAATGCATGCTTTCGCCTTCACCAAAAATTCGCACATAATAATGTCTAATGCGTCTATGTCCCGGAATCTTGTTCTCATACCTGTGGGAGATTG